GTCGGGGAGCATCTCGCGCAGCCCCGGCAAGGTCGCATCGCCGCATGCAGGTACGGGTTCGTCCTCCCTCCGCCGCCGACGGTTTGCGGGCATGGATTCGGTCGGCCGTCCACCGGGCTCGGTGCTCGCGCAGCGGCTCTATGGCTCGCCGATGCCGCTCATACAGTGCGACGACTGCACGCGGACAGTGCTGTGGCTAACTTCGGGCACGCCGAAGCACCCCAGTTGGGTGTTCTTCAAACGGGAAAATGACGGGGTACGTGTTGTTTTCATTCGGCTCATTTTGATAGCTCATTCTTTGATTCAAATGCGGTAGGTCGTTTCGAACATCATCATGTGTGTAGGAAGATGAATGCTCATTTTGATTTTGGAAAGACGAATACATTGATTTATTGATAGAAAGAAACTTAATAGACGTTCGTGCACTCCTTAGTAGAATCGAAGGCAATGATGCGGCTGCATGTGCAACTAGAGGGGAAGCAAAGTCTACTTCTTTCGAACCAAGGATGAAGAAAGAAGAATGCAAAATCAAGAGTCCACATATCAACAATGAATGCATGGAGAAGATATTAGTCCAACTAGTGGGAGCAGTTATGGATGTTGAAAATATTCTAAAATGCATACTTGTGATTCTTGTTTTCTTTAGTCTTACTATTTTAGCAAAGATTTGGTGATGTCTTATGTATCCAATGTTGTTGAAAAAGTAAAAAAATGCATTATGTTGGATCAAATTAAGGTGCAAATTTAGATTTTCCGGCCCGGGAGAAGCGGCGCCAGACCAGACCCCGCAAAGCCGATCCATAAAAAAGCATATTCCGCGAATATTCTTTTTTACGGGTCCGTTATGCGGGGTCTGCATCTGCGGCCGTCCGCGCCAGCCCGTAAAGCCATTTTTCCGCGAACCGCACACGTATTTTACGGGCCGGCGGGATGCGGGGTCTGCTAGAGATGCTCTCATAATTCCCAGCCATGCACTGAACTAGACCGTCTTATCCTTGGCATCCTTTGCTAATTCAGCACATTAGCGTGCTCTGAATGTATACGCGAGAGAAGGCTTGGAAATAGAAGGCATGCAGAAAGGGAAGCACGCACAAGTTGGCGAGGCGAGTTTTGGTCCGGGGTTCCTATCCGAACCATTGATGATCTCCGACACATGTCGACCTCGCAGGCTTTCTTCTCCTACGTATCCTGGGATCGACTGGAGACCCAAGCAGACCGAGACGCCAGGAGTATCCTCAAACAGCAAGGTCAAGTCCCGTTTGGAGCTTGCATTGCTGGTCTGTGGTGATACAACTCAACTTTTCCTTCCCTCGTCCAGAAATGAAGATCAGTCCCAGGTTGCATGCACTTGGGTGTGGTTTGGATCATCGGAAGGCCTACGTTTTTGCCAGTTCAGTACAGCTCTGTTTATGGGTTGTGATGATAGAGTTGTATCCTTGACTGAAGACTGGTCCATAATGTATAGGCCGATCAAATTTATATTAAAATTATCAACATCTACAATATCAAATAAATAGAGTATAAAACATATTCCATGATGGGTATAATGGTTTTGATTTGGTATTGTGCATCTTGGTGTTCATTTTATAAATTTGGTCAAACTTCTGAAGGTTTTACTTGAGATAAACCTAATATGCCAACTAAAAAGAAAAAGGAGAGGGTACTTCAAACATGTTCTTTTTTATAGCACCGGTTTTGTCTATTTTGCTTAGAATACCACTGATGTCGTTTTTTTGCAAAACTTCACACATGAGTACAACACTCGATCATGTATGTTAAAGAAATAGGGAGTGTTTGATTTTTTTACAGTATTTTTTATTCTATTATTCATAATTGATGCTCGTGGAACCGTATCCCAAAATTTCGTGTGTAGCTACTAAATTATTAAAGCCTGGGCACGTTGTAATCCATTCTCAAACATTACTTGCCAAAAATTTATCCCAAAACTAAGAGCATTTCGAATCCACCCTCAAACCTTAGTTACCAAAAAACAACCTCTAAAATTTAGTTCCCTAAAATATCTTCGGTATTAGGAGGTTGCCTTCTAACTAAGAGCAACAATGCAAACTTAGGCGTCAAATACCCATCTTCGGTATTGGGAGAGTGCCTTCTAACCCATCCCCAAAACTTCACGTAACTCCCAATAATTTTTTTAGCTATTTGTCTCACCATTTTGCATGTATAAAGTTTATTTCAACTTCATTTCTACAACATACTTTGTCAAATCTTGATGTTTCAAAAGCATAGATGTCAATAATTTGATTCAAATTCAAACCAACTCATTGGTCGTTAGTTTGATCCATGCCAACCAACTCATCAAGACATACATGCATCCATGCATAGCATATTGCTACATCCTCCTCATCTTCTAATTGCTCAACCTTCCAGGTTGTTGGTGTATCGAACTCAACCACATCTTCATCCACTTGTTCCTCCACTTCGGGCCATCATCTCCCATAAAAAAGTCAATGCCTTCTAGGCCAATTTGATCTTCATTCAACTTTGCCATGAACTCTTGCACTTTCGGGTCATTTTGCACAATGTTATGGTGCACAACTTAAACCTCACACTCATAGCATCATCAGGCTTTCGTGAAATCTTTTATAGCAAATCATCAAGTTATCCTATCATGCACCCGCAAAAAGAAAGGTTCTTATACCCATGTAGTATCCATTTTGTTGTGCAATCTGCCCGATTAGAATTTCACCGGAGTCACCGTCCGAGTTCACACGCTTACGCGTTCAATTGTGATTGCCGCCCGTCTGAATTGCATGCAGCCTGATCGAAACCGCGACCATCTCTTCACCTCTTTTTATTTTTTTTAAAGGCAAAAGATTTACAATTTCATTGATTAATAAAGAAAATTGTAGACAACAGCTGCAAAGGGAAACAGAAAAAATCTACTCTCGTTGCATTACAATGCTCAAATGCTTCGCGCCCGCCAAAACCCAAAGAGACATCTCCTATCTAATCTTGTTAATGATAACCATAAAAGGAACAACCGTGTTTCGAAAGATTCCATTATTATGTTCCCACCAAATCTCACAAAAACACGAGCGTCACCAAAGAGGCGAGCGCCTTTGGAGATCCGAGACGAGCCTGAAGATTATCTCTTCACCTTTCTCTCGCCGCATGCAGTCGTTGTCTCTGCGCTCCCGGTCTCGACCAGACAAACAAGCCTAATGTGGCTACCAAGCAAAATCTTTTCCATTTTACCAACGCAAAACATTTCGCGTGCCTTCTCTCAGTTCCGTCGAAGCCACGCACTTGTCCAACGGAACGTAGCGGTTCTTAACCCCACCCATCAAATCTGCGGAATACTAGTTGCAGTAGTCAGTCGGCCACTCCCGCGGTTAATTAATCAGAAGTGGCAAGGAAAAAGAGGAGCGTGTATGTATTCCGTGCAAGTCTCACCCTTGCCCGCCGGCTCGGACTTGAGCTTTGGCTTGCTTGGCCGTGCCGGTCTCCCCCGGCCTTCCCCACCACACGTTCTTCCCCGTCGGACCGCAACTCATGCAGCAGCGGATAGGGCCGGCAACGCCGCGAGCCACGCGAGCGAAACAGACGTACGAGAACCAGCGACGGGGTGGGATCGGCCCGCCCCGCCCCGCCCAGGTGGCCGGATCGGCACGAGCGGCCGCGCGACGCCGACCCCGGCGCTTGTCGGCACCCGGCCCGCGCCACGCCGAAGGTTCCCAGGCCCAGGCGTGAGAAAGAAAGGAACAAACGCCATGATGGTTTGAAAAGAAGAAAGTCCGTGTTTCTTGGCCCCGATCGTTTTCCATTTGCGAGCAGGAGGAGCAGTTTTCGTTCGTCTGGAACTTTCTAAGCTGGCACATTCGTCGCTTTCCCGTTGGATCATCGTGTGCCGAGTTGTGACCAAATGGGGAGATGACTGGCGACTGGAATTGGCATTCTTGGAGCTGGAGGGGAGATGTTCCTCCTTCCGAGATCACCGTTCGGTGAGGGGGTGCATGCGATGCGCTTGGCTGGAAATGGGTCTCCTTCCTTCCAACTGCATGCGGGCTCTACAGTTTTCCGTACAACCATCCAACCCAAGTACAG